CATACCTGTGCCATTTTATGACACCGTAAAACATCATCATTCGATAAATGATATGGAGCAAATTCATTTTTGATAGTATCGAAAATAACGTTTAATGATTCCGGTTCGATCATTGAAGAAACCCCAATCGGTACATTTTGTTCGAATAAAAATATATGATTCAATGAACTACAATAATGAGAAGCATTATTAAAAAAAGAACACAATCGAACGCATAAATAATTTGTCAATTTAGAACTTACAGTATTTCAGCAACTTCTTCAATCTTATTCTCAGAAGCTCGTTGAACTGACATATCACGATATTCTAGTAATAAATTCGAAACGTCGAGTGTGTCGATAATCCACTGCATATATGAAGAATAATTGATATCTTTTCTAAATAAACTCAAATAAAGGTTTAAAAGTTACCTTTTTTGCACCCTCACTTAATGAAGATTTCACAACACCTGGTCCAGTAAACCAGTCATAGATATAATCATTTCTCTTCTTTTTTATCTCAATGAAAGTATCATCATCTGGTTCATCCGAACCGGGATAATAGGATTTATCTGAATCGTTCCCGCCAGGTGTTGTAAAAAGCCCATTCAAGTTGTTCTCATCGGTTATTCCAGATGCAATGAAAGGGTTGATGGAGTCGTTTTCTATAAAATCTAAATTCTAGAAATAAATTTATTAATTAAAATGAATAAATTCTCAACGGTTCAAATACCATAACACTAACCTTTGCCACACGTTTCGGGGGGCTTTCTTTTGCAACATCTAGAAGTCGTTTCGTAGTTTTTGCACAAGTAGAGTCATTGGCGTCAAGTTCTGATTTTTTCTCGTTTTCCACCAATTTATTCCCAAAGTTTTCGTTCACGGTTGAATACAAAGTGTAGATTTTTTCACGGCATTTTTCTGAAATTTGCATCTGACAAATATCGCATATTAAATCACAGTGATATTGATTGAGAGAAACAAGCCCATAAGTTTTGTAACCTACCATATGCCATCTTTCGATGA